ATCAGATGGTTTGAAAATATCTATTTAGAATGATTGGGATGATTCTGTAGTGGAGTGCATCTGCATAAAATATAATAAACTCATTTAAATAATAGATTAATACAATAAAGCGAAGTTAAATCAAGTGTCTTACTGGTTTTTGAGTCTAACAGTTTTCAGGTACTGAGTAATAAAAATAATCATTATTAAAGTCACTAATGGTTTCTTATGGCTGAATGTTTTTAAAATCCTCACAGTCACACGCCTCAGAAACACATGTAAATAATTGATAATAAGCATGTTATATTGTAAATGCTGTGATATGGCTATTGTGAATGATCACTTTGATGCGCTATATTGTACAGCTCTGACAATGGGAAAGGAGGGAGCGTCCTGAACCGCACCGCTCTGTATATGCACTGACTGTATGTAACCTGCTGGCTCATCTGTGCTGTGTGCTGTGCTCAGGCTCAGGTGGTTATGATATGTACGGCTATAAAGACTCAATGTCAGGCGGTGGTGGGTACGGTGGTGGTGGCGGGTACGGCTCCGAGCGGATGAAGAGAGGTATGTCTGGAGGATCCCTGCTGTCCAGCGGCGCCAACGCAGACGCCGTCATCGCCAAAATCAACCAGCGGCTGGACATGCTGACACAGCTGGAGGGAGGGATGAAGAGCGGCTCACGAGGGGACAGGTAACACACACACACACACGCTGGAGACAATAACACACCTGTAACTGCACTAAAACACCTTCAGATGAGCGTCTGACAGATAATTCAGTGCATTTGTTTGTGTTAAGCTTAAGGAACAAACACTAATTATGGCAGATCCACTTGATTTATTTACTTTCAGTTATTGAAGTGTCTGTAGGCACTTGAGATTATGGCCGATTCCAGAACTGCAGCTAGATTTTACACCTTAAAGAGAAATCTAGGGCTGGGCCATTTGGCAAAAAAAAACTTTTTTTTTTTTTTTAATAAAGTTTGACCGATTCACAATTTTGATCTCGATTTATTATTTTTTTTATTGTCACTAGTCTTCTCAAAACATTACAACATGACGGAAGTAACATTCTCTTTAAAAGTAACTTGAAAACCCATCTGCTTAAGGAACACTGTATTTTTAATGGCCATGTCATACAAAAATCGGTCAAGGTGTAAATAAATGTAAAACAAATTCACGAGTTAGATATCGTTGCTGAAGATTTGAATGAGAAATATTTGTGTAAATATTGCACTTGCAGCAATACAGAGGGATTTTTTTGCAAGTTTTGCTGAGTCTAGGAAAGATTGTCTGTCAGCTCGGCTTTGACGTTGTCTTCTGATTGAATGTCAGGTTGTAAAGCTGCTGCCTTTTCCTTAAAAATATACAGTGAAAGAAAAGGACTGAACATGGAAACTGTAAAGCCTAATTTAACCCAGTGTGTGGAGTTGTGGACGTATAGCAGGAGCAAATACAAGCACCAGATGTGTGTCTAATATAAAATATGTAATCTATTTTTCTTTTTCCCCCTTTTAAATACCGATAATTTAATGAGCTTTGCTCCACTCTCTGTATTATGCTGCCTGATCTGTCTGGTTTTCAACTAGGTCCGCTAAATGACGTCATCAGAAGCGGCGCAACACACATGACAGTTTAAACTATCACACACCAAACGCGCACATTCAGATGATATGTAACATGAAACTAATCAGATGACGCTCTGTGGCGCGGCTGAAATATGACCTGCTTCGTGAATCGTGGCTGGGCGGCGCCGGTGTGTGTATAGAAACCTGTTTAGAATTCTAATATCCATGGTGCTGCGAGGCGCGTCGCTGAGAGGCGCTTCTGGTGTGCTTCATACAGAGAGTGAACCCAAGCACGTTAGTGCCAATATAATGTATTAAATATATATATATTTTGAAAATCGCGATTTCTCGATTTGATTCAAAATTAAATTGCCTTAAAACGTAAATTCGAATTAATCGAAAAAATCTGAAAAATCGCCCAGCCCTAGATAAATCTGTGGTTTTTCACAAACAAAACTAACTTGATTGAAACAGTTTTGAATAATTACACTTTATATGACAAGATAGTGCTTGATTGTGAATTTGGGGACATTTTGTCATGAAGATATGGATTTTAAAGAATTCAAATAGTCAATCTTCATCTAATCTTTTACCAATGAACTTTAGCATGAAACATCATTACAGTTTGAGCTATATTAATGGAAATACACCCACAATTCTGCAATGACTTTCACATTACACACACACACACATACACACACACACACACACACATTTACGAGACTCTAGAGAGCACAGCGCTGAACCAAGACGCTAGTCTACACCTCAGATTGGGTTTGAGCAGGTCTGCCCTAACACATACAGGCTCAGATCCTGGTTTTCTGGTTCCAGTGTGTTGACCGCAGCAGTAATGTTAACTCTTCTGAAGATCTGTTTATCTGTTAACCAGCTCAAGCTCTGCTTTGACTTCATCACATGCACCACTGAGAGGATTTAGACGGTACAGGTTATGATGGAGATGCTTTAGCCTGTTGAAGGTGTTGACACCAGAAATTGTCACGCAGAGCATTTACACTTCAGATATATTCAGGCACTGGATTAAAGCTTTTCTTAATCACAGATTCATTAAATTGATCATAAGTGACAGTTTGTCGTTTCAACATTGATAATGCTCAGACATCACCCGGTCCATGTGCCGCTGAATATACATGAGTTACTGTACATTCACCTGTTTAAAGCTGATCATCAGTCATAGTCTTACTGCATTTCTGATGCCATAAATGCAGAGCAGCCCATTCACACACAGCCATGTTGATCATCGAAGCCTGCACGGGCATCAGCAGTCCAGATGTGGTGACGGTACAGACTCACACACACACACTCCTGTCCTCGGCTTGCCCTGATCTGCACAGACACATCTGCCTCTCCAGATGCCCTCACTGAAGATCTCCTGTTTCCAGATCAGTCCGTTGCCTTACGCCAGCATCTGTGCAACTGTGTTCTGAAGCTTTTCCACAGCCTGGAGGCAGCAGTAGCTGTGGAAGGGCTTGATGAACGAGCGCTAATGATGAGTTTGTGTGTGCGTTGTGCTCTGCAGCCGCACTCAGTGACCTGTGACCTCTGCTCTGCGCCTCCTCCTTCTGCAGGTTTGACCAATACGAGTCTTTCGACTCGCGCTCCGCCTCCATGGGCCCTCGAGATCTCTACAGATCTGCTGGCTACGGTTACAGCGACTCCCGGGGCGACATGATGGCCCAGCGCGGAGGCTTTGGGCTCATGGGTGGAGCCGGAGGGGGCGGAGCCTTTGATGGCTTTGGATCTGGCAAAATGAGGCCGACTCGAGACTCCTTCTCGGGCTCTGGCTGGGGGGCGGGGCAGAGATCCCCACGCAGGGGTGGATCAGCCGGGGGGCGTGGCTTTGGCCGCAGGCAAGACTCCTCTGGGGGAGGAGGTGGGCGTGGCGGAGGCCATGGCCACTCCCCTGGTGGCCGAGGAAAGCTGCCCTCGCTGCTGGGCCAACGCATGTACCCTGACAGCGGGGCCTTCCAGCCCCAGCGCGGGCCCCAGGACTTCCCCGTGCGGAACTTCGGAGGGGGCCCGAGGGCCAACCGGCAGCGTGGCCGCAAGAGACCTCTGAACCGAGTAAGTACCGCCCACTGCCTGTGGGGGGCGTGGCTGAGAGATCAGCGCTCACCCCTGCACGTAGAGGCCAGTCCAGCCCAGAACAGCAGGATAATCTAGAGCTTACATCACAGGCCACACATGACAGTCTGTTAAAGGGAAGCTCATGTAACACTAGGTGTGTTCGACTTTGCTTCGTACCCTACATGGACTCTTTCTGTAATAACACTTGAGTGCTGTTTGCATACGATTAAGCATTCGTTCACTTCTAGGTTGAACTTTTACCAGTCGTTTACTCTCTTTTCTAGGCCCACACAGAATCTGCACGCGCAGAATTCCTCCGATTTTTAGCCCATCATTGAGTTTACTTGTGTAAATGGGTGTAGATTTCTATTCATTCAGTTTTTTAATTAATTTCACTAATATTATTGTGATATTATAATAATAATAGTAATATTAAAATGTTCATATGATTTACAATACAGTTAGTAAAGTAATATTTTCTGTCTTTTAGTAGATATATTACATGAAAGACTTGCTTTTGGTTAACAAATAAGTGGATCTAATAGGATTTGCATTTAAACATTAAATAAAAGTTTAAAATGTATATTTATTTCATATATATTAAGTTTTTAGTCATGATGCTAAGTAACTTTAGTCTTGATGATAAATAATTCCACTTTTTTTTTTTTTTTTTTTTTGTTACTAAATTCTCTGCAAAAACATCTAATTTTCTGCATTCTGCCTGGCCCTGTCCTTCATCCAAGATGTTCATTTCAGTCGTCAGTCATCAATGAATCTGTTTTTGAGGGGGAAATGCAGATGATCTGTATATAGAGGTCTTCCGGCGTTGAACTTTCTGACCTCCGTGCAGCTTCAGAGACTCTAGAGCAGGGATGGGCAAACTTGATCCTCGAGGGCCGGTGTCCCTGCAGAGTTTTGTTCCAACACTAGTCAAACACACCTGAACATGCTAATCAGAGTCTTCAAGATCACAAGAAATCTATAAGCAGCCTGCTGCAGGTGTGTTTGATTAGGGTTGGAGCTAAACTGTGCAGGACATCGACCCTCCAAGACCGAGTTTGCCCACCCCTGCTCTAGAGGCATCAGTCAGTCGGTTTCTTGAGTCAGTATGCAAAATGACTAACCCAGAGTTTCCACCGCTGACAGACACACCTTTATAAACACCAGCTCTGCCTGTGTGTGCAGTTTACACTCCTGTAAGTCATTAGCCCCTTTCACACAGTGATGCCTGTAAATATCTGGAACATTTCCGGAACGACTTTACCGGTAAATTCAAAAAAGCGCTGTTCACACAGACGAGGACGTTGCATATTTTTCAGGAAAAGAGCGTTCACACATCCATTCCAAAATAGCGGTAAACTCTGACATCATTAAGCAGAAATGAGCTCTAAACGGCTGCGCTTGTGTTTGTAAACGCTTGACTACATCACAAACTCTGTGGATGGATCAGTATTGTGAACAACTCCGATGAAAACATACAGAGAAACACTTGCGCATGATGTGTGTGCTCACGGGCTGTTTCACAGGCACACGCAAAGTTTGACGGTAAACAAACAACGGCTTATCATAAGCATCAATAATTATTTACACGGTTGGCATTAAGATGAACATATAAGCATTATCTGACTAATTTCTAGCAGCTCAATGTGTCTGGGACAATATTCACCGTGCGGACGTAAACGCGCCTGACTGTTCTGATTGGCTAAAGCAGATGTCTTGCATTAGCACATTCTAGACGTGCTCGCGCTCTTTCCAGAAATCTTCCTTCTGCATTCACACAGTGCAGCATTCCGGCAAATTACCGCTAATGTTACGACTACTCTTTCCGGAAAATAGCCAGAACGAAATTACCGGTATTTTCAAAAAGGGCCTGTTCACTCATTCACACCTTTCCGGAAAACTGCCCGTAATTTACTGGAAAGGTCTGTATGTGTGAGGGGCTGAAGTCTTATCAATCTGTCTTGACATTATGCATAGTAGAGGTTAGAGCTGGACAATAAGGCCAACATCTCTTACATTTGGTTGATGCTATATAAATCTGATAGTGATGTATAGTTTAATCTGTCACTATCGCTATATAAGCTATCCTCTGGATCAGTTGATTGATGCGGCTTTGCACATTTCAGAGATATAATAATTATTAATCATGACTAGGGCCAGACGGAATCTTCGTGCGCAGATTTTCACAGATTTGTAGCCCATTATCGAGTCTGTATTTTATTAATATTTTTATTTACCTATATTTATTCAGTTTCTTAATTTCACTAATATTTTGTGGTCTAATAATAGTACCATTAAAATGATTTATTTGCAATACACTTAAAGTAATATTTTCTGTCATGTAGTATATGAGAAACTTGCTTTGTTTACCAAATAAGTGGATCTAATGGGATTTGCATTGTAAACCCTTAATAAAAGTAAAAATATATCTTTATTTCATAAATATAACAGTTTTAAGATTAAGTTTTAGTTATGATACTCCTTAATAATTTAGCATAAATCTGCATTATTTATTTATTTATTTATTTATTTATTTTAACAGTTTCTTCCAGAAATAGCAATAAATGTCTGTGGATTCTGTCTGGCCCTGTTCATGACTCTTGATGAGCTCTGCTGCGGCCTAAACCTCATCCACTCTCAAACAACTTCTGTCAGATTATAAAAGATCAGATTATATCAATACAAAAGATATCACAGATATTGAAAAGATCATACTGATATTGAGTTATCCTTATAGACAGATAATATAGTTCCATCTTGCAGTTGAAGCACTGATGCAGATCTCCACAGGAGGGCGCCGGAGACTCAGTGACAGCACGCTCCATCAGTCTTCAAAAATGACCTTTATCATCACTCCTGTACTGCTCTGGGCTCATTCAGAGTGTCTGAAGCTCACACCACTGGGCTCCTGCATGTCAAACTCCTCATTCCTTTAACACTGAAGAGAGAAGTGACTGAACCTCTTGTTTGAGGAGTGTAGAATCTCTGAGGAAATGTTCATCTGGAAGTGAACTGAAGCAGAATTAAACACGTAACGCACACAAGACCCTAAATGTGATTCAACGCTGCGTTAATACTGACAGCCAACATTATATTCTGTTCTTTAACTTGAACTGAACATACAGTATTGTCAAATATCTCTATAGTAGTATACCTTTACATCAATACAAACACTACAAACCCAGAGAAATGAAGTTTATCAGGTCAGAAAGCCTCTGATGATTGAGATGTGGATTATTCTGGAGGCCAAATCTAATGTGTGAACTCTGTCGAACACACCTGCTGTAAACACACTCATTAAATCTCTCATGAACACACACACACACACACACACACAGCTCAGGCCTCATCAGTATGTGTGTGTGTGTGAGCGCAGCAGCAGCAGGTCAAGTCTCAGCGTGAAGGACAGAAGAAGCGGAAGCAGACTCTGAGCGCCGGCGACGAGCCCGAGTCCAAGATGGGCAAAACTGAGGCTGCTGGAGAAAAGACGACCGGTACAAGCGTATATACACACACACACCACCCATAATGCACTCTGATCTGTGTGTGTGTGAGAGCTGATCAGTGTTGTGTTTCAGATGCAGGAGAGCAGAAGCAGGAGTCTGAAGAGAAGAGAGATGCTGCTGTACGTTCATGCTCTCGTTGTTTCTGCTGTAATACTGCGCTCGTGTGTTTCAGTCATCCACTCATCTTCTTTCTCTTTCTTCTTCAGGACGTGAAAGCGGAGGATGGCGGAGAGAGTGGCGGTGAGTCCTGCGTCTGCTCTTTAACCCTCGCTGTATCAGTGCAGTAAATGTTTCGTGTTTAGGTCACGCTGAGCACTCTCTGTAATGAGAGCTGGCCTTCATCAGTGTTTTGCGTGCTGCTTTGGGTTTTTGGTGTTGAATAAAGTGCAGTACGACTATTGCGTCTTCACCTTCTCCAATCAAATGAAAGCAGAGGCGGGGTTTCCGTTGACGGACAGCTGTGTTTGTGTTGTTAAGACGACTATGGAGACTTTTAAAGATGAAGGAGAGACTAGCGGAGTCTGTCAGGTAGGGTTGGGTCTGTATTATCGATGGCTGAGCCAGCATCCCGATCCTCCGTCCCCATTACAGCAGTAACCTGCTCTTGAGAAATGCACACTGAGGCCCTGTATACGCCAATACATCTTCAGTGCTTCCCACACATAGACTTTGCTTGGGCGGGCCGCCCCGGTATATTTGGTAGTGACCAGGGCTTATTTTGTGTCGGAACACTCCAGCACCTCTGAAATCTGATCCAGATTTTACCCTCGTCGACTCCCCAACCCACATCGCTTTCATCTGTGATACTACTCCGCCGTCCAACACCCCACCATCACCCCAGTCTTCACTTTTGTCCGTGACAATTAGAGGTGTGAACCTATACTGGTCTCACGGTTTGGTTATGATTATCATGCCATCGATTCGGTTCAATTATATCACGGTGCATTGATGATGCTTTCCATACACAGTGTTATATTTAGGGGAGAGGCTATAACAAGCTGTCTGTATAAACGCACAGACACACAGTACCACACTGTCTCTCATTCACACACATACACAAACATAGACAGCACCAAACAAATAAACACTCGTAAGCCCTCGCAATATGCGTTTAGCCAGGAGAGCTCGCGCTGAGCGGACCAAAAAAAATTAACAAAAAGAAGCTCTTTTCTGACAGTCCCTTACTGAGAGCTCTGCTCAGCGTGAGCTCTCCCGGCTAAACACATATTGCGAGGGCTTAAACAGAGCAGTGCTCGCTCGTTCGTGTCGAGCGAAAGAGAAAGAAAGACAGCTGTGAAACATAACCTGCTTTGTGTTTTTGTAGGAAACACACTCTAGATCTCTTTAGTGTAAGAGGTTTTTGAGTTAATGCCGTCTATAACTGAATGTGTGTCAGGAATATCGAAAACAAAACCAACTGAACCACGCTCTTTTCTCTCCCCCCTGGATGTACAGCGCTCTTAGCATTCGCTTATACTGCCTATGCCACGGGCCGGCCCTGAGTTGGCTCCTAAATACCGGCGCTCGCCTCACTCACGACAGAGCGCATATGAGATCATGACGTCAGTACATGATAACCGGTTATGATTATTACTGAACCGATACCGAATACTCTGCGTCTGCATTGCGGTGCACCGAAGAATAAATTAATTTTGACACCCCTAGTGACAACCCAGACAAAAATGCACCCGGCCATAACCTCAGAATCTCCTAACATGTCCAGGATTCAGGGTTTGTTTTCACCTTCTGAAGTTTCCATTATTTGTGTGTTCGTATGAGCTTTTCACAGCCAAACAGAAACATTAACTGATTAATCATTAATAAACGACTCGGATAAACTTTACTACATGTACTTTACATTATAAAGTCCATATTTACATTATTTCTGGTAATGTTTGTTTGTTTTCTAGCAGTGTTTATTTTGTTTATTTATTTCTGATTTGTTGTATATTTTAGTAATTGGCTGTTAGTATATTACATGCTTTCTACTCCTCTAAGATGCTTTAACAATACTGTACTAAACGTCATGCCATTAAAGCAGCTCGAGAGATGAGACCGTGTGGTTTTAAACGTGTGCTAATGATGATGTTGAGTCTCCAGAAATCTGTTCATCTTCAACTGTTGGCTAATGGTTATGCTAATGCTGATGATTTGTCATTCCAGTTGCATCCAATCAGGACGAGGGTGCCAAGGCCAAAGGCAAGCAGAATACGCCCACATTGGCCAAAATCAGAAAGAGGAGGGGCTTCTTTGAAAGGTCAGCCGTCAAAGGGTCAGCACACACACATCACATTCTCAGCTATGCGTGTGGAGAGTGTGTCGTGCGTTGTGTGCTCATGTGCGCGTGTGTGTGTGTGTGTGTGTGCAGGGTGATCTTCGCCTGCTCCATCTGCAAGTTTCGCTCCTTCTACAATGAGGATATGATCGCTCATATGGAGAGCAAGTTCCACAAGGACCACTTCAAGTATCTGTCCAATCAGCTGTCTAAACCCACCACCGACTTCCTGCAGGTGCGGCCCCGCCCACTCTAAAGGCCTGCTGGGAAATGTAGTTTTATTGTGCCAAATAGATTTCCTGAGTGATGATGTGAGAGCAGGAACATTTCTCACAGTATCTCATGTGGACCAAGTCTGATTGCTGATATTATGATGATTATCATGCAGTAGAACATGCTTCAACACAATTTAAAACAATAATAATAATAATAATTATAATAATAATAATAACTTCTCTATCTGTTCTCTTCATGATGACAGTAAATAATATTAGACTGAATATTCCTCAAGACACTAGTATTCAGCTCAAATTGTGCATGTGTGTGCGTGTAGGAGTATCTGAATAATAAGTATAAGAAGACGCA